CTCTCTCTCTCTCTCTCTCTCTCTCTCTCTCTCTCTCTCTCCCTCTCTCTCTCTCTGCGCCCATCTACAGTTGCAATCGTTTAAATCCATACATAGCAGATCTGTCCGCGTCTGAAAAAACCTAGAGAAGTAGGGACGCTCCATTGGCTCAATTGGTGTCGTCCTGGATTGAATCCCTGATTCGACGTTCTTGAACTCGGGTCGTTTTGTAATACGGGGTGCCCACTACGGCTGGGATCAGACTCGATCGCCTCAAAAACAAACGTGTTTGTTTTCAGTTTCAGGCGATCAAGTCGGGCGATCGGCCCGATCCAGCCGTAGTGGGCACCCCGTATAAAGTTTTCAAGGCTTTCAACCCAATTGGCCCGGTCCTTTCGAAGACGGATGTCAAATTCGGTGGCCCCGCCTCTTAAATAACCTGTCAGTGTTGACAAGACCGTTAAACTCATAGACTTTTAGTCTTAAGGCAGTAGGTAGTTTAATGATTCCTGTGGTACAGTTTATAATGATGTTGGCCAGCACTGGAGAGTGTAATGGGTTACGAATTGGGTCTGAAGCTCCCCCCCCCCCCTCATGTAAATAGGGTGAGGTTGTTATAAAAGCGGAAGACGCGCACGTCATACTGTTTAACTCAAACAGAACTGAGACTGATGTTTAGTTTCAGTAAACGTTTTACGGCACTTACAACACAATAAGGTTATATTAGTGCAGAAGATTAGAGGTGTTACAAGGCAGTAACAAACACAAAAAAAAGAAGGAGGGAAGATAAAGACGATAGATGTTTGATAGGAAAGAAGAAGCCGACCACACCAGAGCACCCTCCAACCACCCACACTGAGACTGATGCCTGTGGTGCAGTGGTTAGGCACTTCGCTGTCGTACGCAAGAGTCCCGAGTTGGAATCCCGACTGGGAAGAATATTTTTAATTGAGTATCTCAGTCTTTCTGCTGGATGTTTTATGCCTCTCAACCCACTTCCTAAATGGTCTAAATTGTGTCGATGGGGGTGTAAAAACACTTACATTTAGTTGGGTTTTTAATAGTAAGAGGCTAGTTTAAGAAGAGGAACATCCGCCCATAAAGTCCATCTCGAACTTAGCCCACCAAGACCAAAAGACGTCCCGTCCAGTATTAGCCTGTTACAGCACTGCAAAAAAGAGCAGTTAGCCAAAGGTTATGTTGTGGCTCCTATCAAACATTTAATCGTCCTTAACTCTCCTTCTTCTTTTCCTTGTATATTACTCTATAGTAACTCCTCTAAACTATAGAACTGATATGACATATTTGTGTTGCAAGTGCCGTAAAACTAAAATATTGTGCCCGTGAGTTTTGGACAAAGAAAGAACGAGAAGCAGGATTGAATAACTGTGTTGTGTTGATGTGGTAGATCTGGGCTTCGTTCACTTTCACTGTCCACAACTCACCGATAAAACCGTTAGCCGACAATTTTGTGAAAACGGTAAATGATATGGGTTTAACACTATTAGCTTATTTAAGAGGCGGGAACTCCAAGTTTAACGTTCATCTCCGAAAGAACCGAGCCAAATGGGAATTTTTTGCAAAGTGCCTTTCCCAAGGACACAACGTTGGACCGTGCTGAGGCTCGAGCCCTCTAACCCGCGACCTCACGATTACGAGTCCGGTAGCCGAACCACAGGGCTACCGACCGTTTTGTCGTAGTGCAGTTACTGGGTTAGATTCTAGATCTAGTTTTTTTAGTTTTTGTTAGTGTTTTACGGCACTTGTAACACAATAAGGTCACATATGTGCCGAAGATTAGAGGTATTACAAGAGAGTAAGAAACACAAAAAAGAAGGAGGGGAGATAAGGACGACAGATGTTTGATAGGAAAGAAGAAGCAAACCACACCAGAGCACCCGCCAACCACCCGCTTACTGGGCTTGGTGGAGCCAGGGTCATTCGTACAGAGAGGTCAAAGACGATACCAACTGCGCTGCCAATACATCAGCAGAAGAGAACTGAATGTTTAACTACCCAAGCCCCTTCCTTTCAGAGGGGACCTCGCACCCAACCTTCTTTTTCTCTCTTTTGTAAACGTAGGTGACACAATTTGTGAGGCATCGTGGTGAAATTAGGCACTCGTCAAAATAATGAAATCGAACATACCAGATTTCTTACGCCGGTTGGGCAAATTTTATAGAATGTTTGTTTTTTGGCCCAATACCTTTTATGTCCTTTTAAAAACACATTTCTGAGAGGATTTTACCGGGAACAAAAACGTTGATTAAAGGCACTAAAAATGTAAATTTTCAGTTTCCAAGGACTCTCAAACTATTGAAGTCACCAAACTTTGGTGGCCATTTTCTCGTTTATTTTACCTCTGAAACCAGGCAACGTGATCTTCTCCAATCGCAACTATCTCGA